AGAAGTTTGGCACTTTCCAGATTTGGGCTGGACTACTGAGCAGGGGTTGAGGTCTCATCCAGAAGAGAATGAGCAGGCAAAGAAACTGAGGCTGACATCTGTGACAGAAGGCACATAATCTAGCTACTATAGTATTAACCTACAGCCATTTAAGGCTCCTTAAGTGGAGATAATTCAAATGTTTTTAGTCTCTCTTTCCTCAAGAAATTCAGCTGTCTACAGGTTTAGAGCATTTACTTTTTTTTTTAAATTAGATTTACAGTACAAATTCTTCATTAGTTCACAGTTAAATCTGTAGATGATCTTACAAACAAAAAGGTATGCAGAAGTAACTTACAGTTGCTAATGAGGTATTTTGGTATGGATGTACAAAAGAAATGAGGAACTAAATTTAAGACCTAAAAACATTTTTTTCCTGCATTCCACACCTGAATCTTAAAGTACACCTTGATCATTTGTCTAATTTGCATAAAGAACAGTATTTAATATTCTCTAAACAGGATCTCTTATTCTTCAGCTTATGTAAAACTCAAAAACTACAAGAGATGAGCTTTTAAAGCACAATGGTTAAGAAAATGAGAGAGATGACAATGCATCCATATTTGCTAGCAGAAAATAAACGCTGTTTCTTAGTACCAAATACACATCCTTAAAAATAAAAAAAATAAAATATATAAAACATACAGTATGGGGAGCCTTAATTTTAACAAACTTTCTTTTTCAGTAAGTGCAGATTTAAAGTTCACAGTTACTGCATCTGAAAAGATCTGGAAGCTGTGCTTCTCTTACTACTCTGCAAGCCTTCCAGATGCCAACTCATACCGTCTTTTAAAAGGTGCCCTATGTCCCTTGCTGTTTCTTGCTGGTGTGAATTATCTTCATCAGACTGTGAGCTCCACAGTGCCCGGGACACCCACCTCACCAAGTTTTTCCACTTCATAACCCTATGGAGCCTGAATTTATTTATCTAGGCTTTGCTGGGAGGGAAAACTGTTTGTTTCATTTGGAGGTTTTTGGTGTTTTTTTGGGGGGAGTGAGGTAGGTGTTCTTGTTTTTTTCCCTTTGGAATCTACTAGGATTCTAGTTTAAACATCACTTCTAGACAAAAGGTCAAGTTGTTGGTATATTCTGGGTGGATCTAATACATCATAAATGCAGAAATACCTTTAACATTCCTGTTCTTTCCAATTTAAATAGAAGTGTTCTAATTCCTCCCACCTTTTTTGCACAGCAGGTTTCAAGTAGTCCATCTACACTTATCTCATGTCCCATTTAAATTTACTGCAAAGCCAGCTGTGTCATCTGACAGTGAGCAAATCCCTATAGAGCATTAGAAGGTGAAAACCATTAATGATCACTACACTGAAAAGACTGGAAAGGAAAGAACATTTGCAATTCCTTCCCTAAGCCCACCCGGAGCAGAGAGCAGCACAGGAAGAAAATTACATACTATTGAGACTTTATATCTTCTTTAGCTGTCACTTCAGATTGCCTTGAAATTTACAGTTGTAACTTTCCAGAAATGCTTCAGTGCAGACAGACCTAAGAAATGCTACTGAAAATCAAGAAATTCTGTGAAGCATTTAGAAATACAGGTATCAGAACAGATGGTATCCAGCACCCAACTGGTGCTTTTTGTTCATATACAAAGTCTTTTCCACTTCTTTGTTGTGAAAACATTAATTCCTTCCATTTTGAGCAATACTAATGTGAAATATTAGACATTATCATACATAAACTACTATCTTGTTACTTCAATTACCACTGAACTGTATTTTGGTATACAAGAGGGGATCTTACAAGAAACACGGGCTGTACAGAAAATGACTTTCTGTAAACAGCAGCAAAAAGTAACAACCTAAGCAGTGACAAAACAGCAGTCTAACAACTCATCACTATTTTAAAGGAAATTCTCTGCCATTGCTGTAAACAGTAGGTCCACACACAGTAAGCATCAACCATACCTGACTTCAGTCACAACTAAGTCTGATGCCGATAACTCTTGTTGCAAGGAAGCACCAGAAGTTGAGTTAGTCCCTTCTGGCTAAGAATTAAGCATGTCACGGGACACTCACTACATATTTTATTTTTTAAAGCTAGGAAACATTAGCAGGACAGACTAATTGTGCTGCAAAGAGAAAATCTCCTATGTCATATACACCAAACTGATTATCAAGAACACATTAACCTAGGAACATCTTTCCTACTCTAGTCTCAAAGTCAGTCACTGATCAGAATTTACAAATAAATCTTTTCTTTCAGCAACCACCATCATTCACCACAAAGCTGGTCTATGCTGAAGAAAAAAAGAAATGTATTTGCAGATCATAGAAGCCCTAGTTTGAGACACAGCCCTGAAACAGCCTCCAATACTTAACTGTCCACAAAGATCAGAACTCCTCAGTAAGTTATGGCAAAGGACATCTGTATTTGTTTTTCAAGGAAGTGACATCTATGCTGCACTAAAAGGAAGTTCGATTCCTCTGAGATCAGAGCTGGTGCCACATGAATTCAGCTCTGGTGGGACTGACCCTCCCAGTCCCCTTGTACAACAGGCATGGTGTTGGCCTCACCTATACCAAGTCAGCTTTCCCTAGAAAAATTACTTTTGACTCTTCCTGTGTATCCAGCCGCTAGCTGGGAAAACTTGTTTTTCTCTACTGACGTTTCGTGAGCGAGCATTGGTCTTTAGTGAACACAGCAAGCAGTGTGTTAAACGACGGCTTCTTCAGCTCCCGCCTCAAGAGTAGGCACTTTAAGCGTGGAGTTTCCACGTTTTTCAACAAACGCTAGGGAGGTTTGAGTCACGCTAACTGCGCAGGCTGCCCTCGCACCCTTCACCTTGCCTAAGGCCAGGCCAACGGTGTCTACTGCAAAGACCACACGACCAGCCGCTGTGAGACCTCACACCTCGGATAACAACCCGGGCAATAGATCGCTGAAGGGCTGCGTAGGAACCACTCTGCCCCTGCTCCTGCCTTCCATTCAGATACCAGATACTGCAGGTGATAGAGGGACGCTGCTGGCTGTCATCGCCGGAACGGCTGCTAACGGCCGCTGGCCGGCCGGGCAGAGAGCAATCAAGCGTCACCTCCCCAGTATTCCAGGGCGAGGGAAGCAATTACCGGGCAGAGGCTCTGCGGACCTCCACGGACACCAGGGGGGGATGAAGGGACAAGGGGACGGCGGGTCTCACCTCCCTTGCAGGGGGTGCGGTGTTGGCTGTGCTGCGCCCGGTAGCCCTCGATCACCTCCCACTCGCCGTTGTCACGCTTGATGGGGAAGGAGACACTAAGCACATGGTTGCAGGGCTTGATGATGCGGAGAATGCCGCGGACGCGGTGGCGCCGGTCCTCCATACTCTCTCGGGTGCGCAGCCCCTCCACCAGTTTGTCTTCCACGATGCTGGCGCCGCGGTCGAAGAACCCCTCCACCATCTTGAAGAAGTTCGGGTTGTCTTCCTTTTTCGCCGCCTCGCAGTAGTGCCGCCGCGGGCACCTGCCCCCACTCCATGCCGCCGCTGCTCCCCCAGCCGCCGCCGCCGTCCCGCCCGGCTCCGCGCCCGCCAGCACCGCGCCGGCGGCCAGGCGGGACGCCAGCAGCTCCCCCAAGTAGCGGTACATGGCGGCAGCCACCAGCGCTTCCGCTACGCGCGCAGAGACGAAGCGGCGGCAAGCCCTGGTGCGGCGCTGCTGCCACAACGGGCGCAAAGCGCCACCGCCTTTAAACGGCCTCGGGGTGGGGGTGGGCAGCGGGGCGCAGGGGAGGGGGAGAACGGAACACGGCGCCCTTCCCCACTGCGCCTGCGCGAAGCCCCGCCCAGCCCCGCCCCCGGCGGGATTCGCGGAGGGGGAGAGGGTGCGGCGAGCGGGAGACTCGCTACGGGCGGGGTGGAGGGGGTGTGGTGAGCATGCGCGCTTGGCCCCCGCCTGGGGAGCCGCTGCGGCTGGCGGAGCAACGCGTGTGTGGCTGTACTCGCGGGGCGTGAGCGGAAGAGGGCGCGGGTGCGCCCTGGCTGTTTTCCCATAGGCCTCGGTAGGTCGGCGGCGAAGGGGGGCGGCTTCTCCCCGCCTCTTCTCTCCTCTCCTCTCCTCTCCTCCCCGCCGCTTCCCGCCTGGTCCTTTTCTCTTCCTGTCACAGAGCCCGGCCGCGGTGTGTTGGGTGTTCGCGCTTCGCGCCTCACGCGTGTGGCTGCGGTCCGTCTCTCCGGGCGGAGGGGTGGGGTGTAGGGGGCTCCGCCGTCCCTCGCTGGCGAGGTGCTGCTCCTCTTGAGCTCCGTTGTGCTGTGCTGTGCTGGGAAGTAGCCGTTGCTGGTGAAGAGCGTGGGGCGAGTAGTCTTCACTAAGGCACCAGTGTGAGATTCTGGCTACCTTCCAGCGCCTTGCGCCCTGCTCTGCTCCCCTCCGCTCCAAACAGGGGCATGGCAGTGCCCTGGGCGAGGGAAGTCTGGCGTGGCTGTCGGATGCCGCCCTTATTTGAGTAAAACATATGGTTTCTCTTCGGGCAGGTACAAATACGAGTACTTCCAGGCAGTTGCAGTGTACAAAATTATTAGGGAAAGTGTAGTTTGCGTGAAGACCCCTTTTGAGGAGAGCCCGTTAGGAAAACCCAGTTTATCCACACGTGTTTAAGTGTCTGCCCTGTCAAGAAAGAAAGTGGAAGCTTCAAGCCAAACTGCTAACACTGCTGGTTTGTCTACTCGGGTTGTATTGGTAGAATGTTGCCTTTTGCTGGGTCTTGGGCCACTGAAGGTGGTTGGGGTTTATGTAGCTTAGACTTTTGAGTGTATCTTGCAGCTTTAAGCTGTACAAGATCTGCATTCAGAACATGGGAGATGGTGTGTGGCAGTATTTTTACGATTTTCATTTCGGAAGAAATAAACTTTCCCTTTCTGTAGGATTGAGCTGCTAATTGGAAAATACAGGTTTGATTTAGTTTTGCTTCGTTTTGTTATTTGTTTGGGTTGTTTGTTGTTGTTTGGGGGTTGTTTTTGTGTGTATGTGTATTTAGGTTTGTTAGGGGCAACCGATACTCAAATTTTGTCTTGATTTAGCTTTGTTCCTATCCTAAAAAGTTGTCATAAGGACCACTAATAAGGTTGCCTTTTATCTGTAATGAGGATGGTTTGTAGCCTAGAGAACAAAGATCCTTGATAGTAAATGATGTGGAAACAAAAGCAAGAAAGGAGCTTGTTCTTAGGACTGTTTGTTATTTGGGTGTTTCCACTGAGCTTTAGAAGCAAACTTACTGACTTGTTTTTCTGCCCTTATTAGAGGTGGTTCATAAGTAACTTCTATTGCGTTAATTTTCAGTTCACAGAATTGCAGTGTTTTCAGTGGTTGTGTCAGCTTTGCGCGGCTTTTTGATTTGTCACGTGCAGGTTTCCCTTATCTAAAACTTGTGTACAAGTTCTTAACTTTTTTAAATGTGTAGGAAAGGAGGTGGTGAAAGGTATTGTGGTAAATAGTCCTTGTCAGCTAATTATTTTCACATTGTTCTGTAGGCTAGAACACTATTTCATTGACAAAAGTTGAATGAAAAATACAAGTAACCAGTTTGCTCAAGTGTGTAGACTTAGATCAAAATAAGGTAAATGCAATTAGCTCCTATCCTGCCTTCCCTTTACTCAATTACCAACTGCTTGCAGTATATATTTGGAATGTATTGGATACCAACTATGGGACATGACAGTGTGAGACCAAAGTGGGTCATTCCATGGGTTCAGTCACACAGATGTCTTTGGAGTAGCACCATAGCTGGCCTCTTTCCTAAACAAGGCTGGATTTCAGGAAACTATCCAACAATATGTCAGCAAAATGCTACAAATAACTTAATCAGTATGCTTAATTTCTTAGTCTTTATTATGAAAGAAAACTGGGCATTTTTGTTTGCACTTTCTAATGAATGAAATCATTTGTACTGTTTACAGACACTTTACCTGCTTCAGCAGTTCTCTACAAGATTTTTCTTTGCTTCAAATCCCTTCTGGAGGCAAGAATAACCATGCTGCCTGAGGGTGTTCAAGAAGAGTAAGAACAAGAGTCACATACCCTATTCCAGTATTCTCATACAGGTAAATGGTGAGCAGTTGAAGCAAAATCTGTTTGTCGCAGGAAATAAAAATTTGCATGCTTTAGAATGAGAGAGTTCTAGCAGATATGAAAGTGGCAATTACAGTAATAAAAGGTTAACTGTCTTGTTTGTTCTTGCATAGCAGATGGGGTGCCATCAGAAGAGTCATATTTGAGTAACATCAGTAAAAAAAAAAAAAGTTTTGGATGGATTCAAAGGTAACTTTTTGTCTATCTTCACAACCAGAAATTTCACTAACTTTGCTAGTTTCATATTGAAAGTTTCATATTAAATGTTGGTTGTAGACTTGCATCTGAAGAGAGATACATAGAGAAAACTTAATACCTGTGTGGTAGGAAATGTGTGATTCATGGACTTTGCAACAAGGTCATATTCAAGTGTGTATACATGATAGGTGCAAGTTTTTATTTAAAATCTGTGAAGTATGGGTGAGGGAGACAACAAAGAAGTTGGTTAATTTTCTAAGCTTCTTCTAAATCATCTTTATACATAATTTTAACATTATTTTTAGGATATATAAGAACAGTAATAAACACTGTATTGTGCCTTCCTGAAACGATCTATGTTTTTTGAAATTACCAATTTCATAGCAAGTGGAGTCAAATTTATTATGTGTTGAATTTAAAGTTTTATTGAAAAAAAGTGATCTAAGGCAGGAATCCAGTACTGTGCTTTAGTACATTATATTATTCAGAGTATTAGCTATTTGAGAATATGTAGATGACCAGGGTAATCTTTTTCCTGTGCCTAACATTATTAATAGTGGTGCCATAAATGATAAATATTTCTGTATTAAAGTTAAAATATCAGGTTCGGTTTAGTGTTCTCTATCAAAATATGTCAGTTTTGCTAAAATGTTCCTAGGATGTACTAGTACTGGATTGTCTCAGAAGCTAGGCTAGTTATCCCAGTAGGAAATTAGGGGTCTCCACAGGACTTTGAATAACTGTGCCCTTTGTCTGGCTAAGCCCCTTGAAGTACAGGTTAACTCTGAGATTGTCTCCAGTTCAGAGACTTCAGAGTCTGAATATCCATTAGACAACACGTTCAGGAGGAAAATTGATCCATTCAGTGGACAGAGAACTAATTCCTTTCTGTGGTAAACAGGCTTTCTTCTGGGAACAGAAATGGATTTTGAAATACTCTGCAAATGGAATTACACTTGTTTCAGCACCTTCAATTTAAGCCGTCAGCCATGTTACATGAAGCATTTGTCAGTTGTTACCCGTTGCTTAAAGCATTGTTTGAGATAACGTCCAAATATCAGTAACACTTACATGTGAAGATGTTTTTTGTAGTGATTCCAGAAGTAATGTGGAAAGTTGTAAAACTGAGGTTCTAGCTGAATGTGAGAATTTTAAATATTGTACAAGTTGAAACAAATTCGTGTTCCCCTTTGAATTGCCAATATGAGCAATTATGTTTCTCTTCCTCATTTCACCAGAAGTTGCAAGAAAATGCTTCTTTTTCTTGGACTTAAGTGGTATGCTGTACAGCTTGATGTATCTTGGTAGTGACTAAGTAGGTGAGAGCTGAGGCTATTGTTTTATCCCAAACTGTTGAAGAACTTCTCAGCCTCTGAGTTAACAGATCTGTGAGTGGTTGAATAATTGTTACTGGAAGAATCGGTGGGTATGATTCTGTTGGGAATGCTAACTGTAGCTCTAGCCATAGAAACCCCATATGTGTTTCTGTTAAATAGAGGGTGTGCAGCAAATATGTAGGACTTCACAATAATCCTCATGCATTGGAGCTGCCTACTACAAAATAGCCATCTGCTGATCATTAGTTTGAGAGATTCTCAAGTTTTATGGATCATATTTTCAGCCTTCACAATGCTTTAAAGTAAATATTCATGTATCATATATTATTTTTAGCAGGGGATATGAAAGTTTCTGTATCTGCATGAAGATATTGTACCAGTATTCTGTTCTCACAATAATAGGAGGTAATGTCGATAAAGCATGTGTTCTTTTAAATAGGTATATTTTTATAAAATATACCATAACATAAAGAATCTAAGGAATTATTAACATGATCTGAGCTTAATTTTAATTCCAAATTTGTGAATAAGTTAGTATACTCAGAATGTCACATTTTTTGTTTATATCCTTCCCTGTTTATGCCAAGACAGTACATGATATAACAGGAAAGAAATGAAAAGTGTGGCACAGTTGTCAAGCTTCAGTGTCACTAGAGGGCTGGCTCTATAAGATGCTATTACATGTAACACATGAATTAGGTGAATCCCAGAAGTTTTCTTTTATTTGTGACATGTCTATCTATGTAAGCACTTTTACAAAGTCAACATTTACCTAGAAATCTTCATTTCAGTCATCTCTTTAAAAACAGAGATGAAACCTGATGAAAAGCTGTTTCACTGGCATAAGGTATCAATACTTAGATTGATTGGTTTGGAGACTAAGGGGAGCCAGCTAAAAATTGTGGTAAAGAACTATGCATCCCTTAATTAACATTTCTTTCCTTTATAAGTAGCTTCAGCTGTGTTCAGCCATTCCAAAGCTGGAGAGCAGACTGGCAGGTTCTCTTTATTTCCTCCCTTTGCCTTAATACAGAAGAATCTGAATTTGGTGTTTTTCCAGGCAGGCTGCAGAAGGTAGATTTGCATATGTTGCAAATCTGAGATGTGTTCTCTGTAATACTGCAGAGTTGGAGGAGAGGTATTTAGATAATTTTCTGTTGAGATAAAGACTTTGTTGTTAGTGAGATGCTTAGGTACCTGTGCTCTGATTATTTAGCATTATGTATTATTTTGTATTAAATTCAGGTGTTTTCATGGTTGCTAAATATAAGTATCAGCTGCTAACATCTTATTCATATGCAAAGAGTAACTTTTTTGCTTGTCTATAGCACTGCAAAAGCAGGGAGTGAAACTTGTAAGTGTACAAATGAAGTAGGAAGTTGGTAGGTTTAACCTAGAAATTATTTTCTTTAGGAAATGCTAGTCTAAAGTGAGAGATTTGTTTTTTTACTTGAGGCATACCTACAAAACAAAAATCAGTAGCTGAGCAAATTAGTATTTATATTTATTATTTAAACAATCATCTTTTTTTACCTTTCCAGAACTTCTGCAACAAGATGTGATTCTTATTTCATAATTGTTGCAATAGAATTCTTGGGCTGTTTTCCAGAATGTAAATTTGACAGGGGTTCCTCAATGTTTCAGTGAAAAGTACTTGAAAAACCTTCAGGAAGTGGACTCAGCAAGTGTCAGAGGGCAGTTTCCTAAGGTCTTAAAATGTTAATAATTCAACTGGAGAAATCAGAAAACATTGAATAAATTCTGATAATTGCCTCATAAGTAAATATAGTTTTCATTGCCATGAAAAGTGTTGGTGCTTGTGTTTATCAGCTTTAAAGACCTTCTGTCTCCATCTGTTTATATTGCTGCTGTGAATGATGACTGATGTTGCCAACTGATTGATTACTTCAGGTCTGTGACAGAACAGATACAAAAAGCTCTTCATGTATACAGGAGATAATGTCCTTATTTCTTATTCAGACAGTCTATAAATATGCAAAAGTTTTGTGTGTCACATATTGGTACTGTTAATCTAATATATTGCTAATAGGCATTGTCAGATAATATGACTAAGAAATATAAAATATGCTTTTTATAACACTTATTTCCCGTAATGCTGCTTCTGGTTTTCAGATGGCTAGGACAAAAGGTAACTTTCTCTGGAGTCTGCAGGTCTGGTCTGAAACTTACTGAACTCAGTAACAAATTAATCTGATTTCAGTGACCTTTCAGTCAACATGGCTTTTGCTGGTCATTGTGAGGGCTGTTCCTTTCTCATTTCCTTTATCAGTGAGAATCTGTTAAAGCAGCTATTTCCTGTCTTTGTGGAATGATCTTTACCTTTTACTTGTTTTAAACTCATTTCTACTTTAAAAGACAAAAGAGGGAATGATACAGTTACCAAAGCCAGTATATTTGAGATTCCTATCTAACTGCTAAATGTGTTGAAATGAGCTGATGAAAAAGCTAATGGAAAGTCTGACAGGTATACAGGCATAAAAACCTTCACTGTGAGCTTTGTTGCTTTAAATAGGTTATGAACAAAAGTACTTTATTTTGTAGCTATTATACCACTTTTTTAAAGAATTGCTATCTATTTTAGTCAACACAACAAACGAGGGAGTAGACAGTATGATTTGCCAGGAGTGTACTGAGTATTGTTTGAAAGTAATATTTATAATTGAAATAGATGGTTTTTTGCAACTCTTGGTGGCCTTGGCTGAAAATTATACCCGAGGTCTTAACAGCCTGGGATCACAGCATCAGGGACTGTAAACCAGTTTTTTCTTGCTTTAATACTTAACTGGTGATCAAGAGCTGTTAGCATAAACACAGTGTGTATTGTTTAAATAACAAACATTAAAGCTCTTAGGAACCAGGGAATACTAGTCTTCAGCAGTGGTCTTGTTTGCTTTTCTGTTAAGAGATTCAACTTTATCCTTTTTCACTTTGGCAAACTGGTTATGGAAATCCATATTGTTAAAATATGTTTGAATGCTTAATCCTTTGTGAAAAAATGGTGAAGAATTAAGAATTGCCTCTCATGTTTATTGGTAGAAAAAATAGGTGGTGTTCATCAGAAAAGTCCAGGAGTATATTGACTTAGTCATCTTCAATAAACATCAAGATTGTTCATGGTGCCCACTGGGTGTAGGTAACCAGTGCAAAAAAAACCACTATTATAGCTCAACTCAGAGAAATCTGGGATGAGCTATAATTAGGTCAGAATGAAAAATACTTGTTTTAATTAAACTGCCCATCTTGAGCACATTTGAACAATTTTTGAAAACACTGTATTAAAAAAAAAGAAAAAGAAGATAGATTTTTGCACTCTTTGGTCAGTTTTCCAGTTAAACAGCTTGGTTTATTAATACTGCCCTTCTATGGAGATTAATCATGTCATATGTGGTGTTTAAGTGCCTATATGGCAGCCATGTTTAATGTATAGGCATGCAGTGATGCCTATAAGTGACACATAAGTGTCACATAAGTCACATAAGTGACCCCTTATGGAGTTGTGGCAAAACTTGTGTGCACAAAATCTATCTTGGAATGTTTTCTGGAGGCATTGTTGCTGTCATTGTTACTTGGTGCTGGTGTGGGAGCAGTAGATGCCTTAAGGAGCAAGGGTGGGATGGTCCTAGTGGTGTCCAGAGACATGATGAGCATCCAAGGGATGCGCATGTCAGTTGACATGAAAACAGTTCGCAGTTGCTGCCATAAACCTGCAGCACTACCATAGAATTTGCCTTAGTTAAACATTTCTTTTGATTAACAAGCTGAAGATACTGTGCTGTTTAAAGTTTTATTGGTTATTATTTATTGTCTAATCTTGTCAACGCTGACAAGATAAAGCAGAACAGGTAAATAAAACATTATTGCTTCTTTTTTTTCCTTTGAAAGTCAGCAAGTTGACTTATTATGAAATCCTGTTAAGGTAGAGTCTCTACACATCATTAACAGATTTTCAGATTTCAGGAGGAGCATTATATTGCTGTCATCTGAGTGAGTTAAAATAGTCCTGGAGTTTGTAAAAGCTTATCTTGATTTCTTTTGTTTTGTCTTACCAGCTTTTCAGATAAGCTGGTGTTTATGTTTAATTTAGTAAAGGGAAACTCACTGGCTGTTTAAATAATGTATGCTTTTAGATTGTACCATTACCATTACAGATCAGCTTTCTTGAACAGAGAGTGTATGCCATGTGTTCATCTCGGGTTTATAGTCTGCGTGAGCATTATGGTAGTTATAGAAATAAATGTTACACTGGGCTATATAAGCAGAAATTTAGATCCCTCCTTATGTAACAAATGTTTCGTGAAGGTAATAAGGGAGAAGGAAGGAAAAAGAAGCCAGTCTTCTTCATTGTTCTGTTCCCCCTGTATACTTTATGCCTTACCTACCTACTACAACCCATACCTGTAGTGCAAGTCCTTTAGTGTTATTTAGTTCTAGGTTTGCTATGTCTTGTTAACAAAAAGAAGAAAGGTATCTTATTTGGCAAAACTTTGTATTTTCAGCACTTTTTTTCTCCCAGAGCGTATGAGTATTAAAGTTACGTCAGAATATAGCACTTAAATTTTAAAGAACTTAATGTAATTCTCAGTGTTTTGAAAATTAAGGCTTAGCTGGTGGGTAGGTTCTGCATGATACATAAGGTAAGAGAAAACCTCTTTCAAATAGTGTATGATGCTTAAGAACTAAATGAAAAAGTAATACTGGGTGCCCTGTGTGAATACCAACTTTGAATCATTTGATTATTTTATGCTGGCATAAGCAAGCACCTGAGACCTCAAGTAAGGAATAAAAACTTTTGATGGAAGACAATAAATATTATATTGCAGGAAGAAAAGTTGAGATTAAAAGGATAGTTTTGTGACTTAACACAAAGTATTACACACTGGGGAATGATAGTGCAGTTTTAAGGTGTGAGTATGAAAGATTCACACAGAGTTCTCCGCTTGTTTCAGCTTACTGTATATGCCAAAGTGACTTAAACTTTCCTAGCTTCAGTTCCCATAAGGAAAACAGATGATAATTTATTCCCTACTTCTATAAAAGTCAACAAAATACATTATCATTTGGAACTGAGGTGGTTATACAGACTTTTATGGTCCTCGTATCTGAATGGAATTTCTGAATGTCAGAAACTACAGTATTTCTTCTTAAGGAGATACTCAAGGAATTTCTCAAGAAATAGAGAACTAGAGAAATAGTATTAGATTGTAATCTAAGTTGTAAGTAAAATATTTCATGTTTTGAATGTTAATCTTTTATCAGATAATATTAAATTTACTCTGCTTTTTCCTTGTTAGGAAAAGAAACAGCAAGCTCTAATGGAACTGCAGTTAGTTCATTTTATGTTGAAGATAATGAAAAATAAAGTTATATAGTATTTTCCAGGTTCTGTTGGATTAAAAGAATCCAAAGAAATTAAAAATAAGTGTTAGAGAAATCAACAGAAGTTCTCTTGAAATAACAGATATTTGTATCTGCATCCATATGCTGCTTCAATGCACCAGTTTGGATAAGAGGAGTGATTGTCAAATACATTACATATGGGTGTTTTTCAAGCAGAGGTTTTTTAAATTATTTCCCCACTATGTCCTTAATATGTCTGGAAAAAAAAAAAATCATCTTTCAGCAAGTCTTCATCCAGCAAATTTGATGATGACAGGTGAAGGGAAAGTAATAGAACTTGACCTATGACTATATTGGTTATAAAAATTTCTGAAATGCAAAGTAAGGTGAAATTACTCAGCAAAGGAATTGGATGCTTAGATTGGCATGAGTTCTTTGGGAATGTGCCAGTGTAGATATGATTGTGCTTTTTTGCTGAGAATATCGGATCAGCTTCTTTAACACAACGTAATTTCTTGAACTTTGTTCATACTTGTTTTTTTCTGTTTTGTTTTCCCATCCCAGATCATAAAAGAATATAAAATCTGGAGATTACGTGGGCCAAGGTGACTTTTATCAGATCTGTAACTGCATGGACTGCTAACTGTAATTGATCTTTTGGGAGTACAGATATTGCAGTTTAGTTATTCCCCTGTCTTCCTGTGTATAGCAATGTAACCCCAGTGGACAGAGCTCTGACTTCAGTCATGAGACTTTCATTCTCACAGTAGGAGAATCAGTATTAAGTACACTATGAGGTGAGCATTTCTTAAATCTTTAGTTTTTCTTCATTATATTAAGGATATATTGACTTAGAAGCAATTTATAGTTTTACTTAAGCTTGGATCAGCTTCTCCATGAAGACAAGTAGATAAATAGTTAAACCTCTTCCGTTTCCATCCTTAATTCTTCACACTTCAGGAGCTTTGAAAGTTACATACCTTAAAATTTCATGGTTCCTTCACGATTGTGTATTGTTGGTTTTGTCAACATGGTTTGTAGAGTACCAGTATCTCTCTGAAGAAAGGGACTTTCTTCTAAGTGGGTTCATGGTGTATGTGAACATCTTAAACATGCACGTACTTTGCTGGACTTTCAGAGCACATGATGGAAGAGTTAGAGTGAGCAGAATATTCCTCGGTATTAAAATGAGTGAGGGGGAAATAATTTATCTTGAAGTCTTTTCAGATTAGCTGTGAGTCGCACACATAGGGCTGGTCTCAACCCATTAGTGTAATACACTTCAAAAATGAGTACTGTGTCATACCACGAGTAATAAAATCATTTGTAAAGGTTGTGAATTAAAGACAACTGAGTGAAGGTACACAGCAGTAATCCTACTAGCATGGTACAGAAAATAATTGAGGTATTGCCTCTAACATAAAAACAATGAAGAAAATTACTAATCTTTAGTGAGAACACATGTACAAGAAAATTTTGTCAGTGGTTATGCTGCTATGCACTGTGACTTACAACAGTAGAAGGAGACCCAAGATGGCTTGTAGCACCATGCTTATTTTTTGTTCTGCTTGAGGTGTTTTCAGACAGCTGGCTTACAATGGAAAAGGGTAGATATATGTGCAGGCCATATAAACCAGTGTTTCAAGCATTTTACTCACAGATTTTATTAAATTATGATGATTTCATTTTTGTGGGTAGAAATCAATCTACACATTTTGAAGTATATGTTTTTGAGTAGTCTAAGTGAATTGCTGCCTTAAAGTGTGAGAGAAAAGTTAGTTCTCTGACATAGGGAAATTTGCATCTAAAAGGCACATTTGACTCGGTCAGCTGTGTTGATAGTTACTCAGTGTCACCTGTTCTCTGTTAAAGCTTAACCAATTTGCTAAACTAGCATCCATCTGAACCATTAAAATGTAAAGTCTTATATATTAAAAAGCTAATGCTAATTTCCTTTGTGTATCATATCTTGCTTTTTTGCTAGGTAAGTACTAAAGTTTGTTTCCACAAATTTTGCTGTAGTTTTTACTAACTTAAAATACTCTGAAATTTTATCTTGGTTTTTCTGTGGTGATCTGGTAAATTAACAACTTTACTGCTTAGACATAGTACTTGTGAAAGAACATTTACTTGGCTGACATTCATACAGTTTTATAAAGAAGTTTGTAGGTATGTTGCTTCTGTAGCCACAATAAAAAGCAAGTGTGTGCAGTGAACCATCTGTGATCTTTGTAGTGCTATTCACTATTATACAGAGCCAGCTTGGCCCAAGTCTGAAGGTTATATTTCCTTAAGGGGGCTTTATCTCTGAAAAAAAGCATAAACCTCTCATCTTCTAGACAGAACTGCATATCATTTGCAGTTGTTAAGGCTGAAGGTGGGGGTGTCTAGTTTGTGCAATAGGAAGATCTTAAAATAACCTCAAATTCTTTGCATTTTCAAGAACAGAAATACGAGAGATTTGGATATAAAACTCAGTACTGTCATGTAGTTAATGTCTGTCATATTTAGTGTATCAGGTCACCAGCTACTTCAAACCTCACAAAAATATGCTAATGATACCGCATGGGGTACGTAGTTGTGTACTGCAGAAATGGATAAAATGTGCAGAATGGGACTCAGGGTGGAGAATAGAAAAGGTTTTGTGCCATACTTGTGCCAATTCTATCAAAAAATCCTTGCTTTTCTGGAGAGATACTGCATAAAGACTGAGGAGGTAAATGAATACCTGATTGAATCTAAAGAAGTCTTGTGGACTTGTAGGCCATCTGGCTGCTTCTGGAGCTGCCTGTGTATTTGCCAGTTTTGCACAGCCTTGGAGCACCTTTAGGTTTAGTAGTAACTTGGGTGCTGCTAGTATGACTTCCGTGAGTGGGTGGCTGTTAATGAAACAGTACCCCACGTGCCTTAATTGTAACAGGAAGTGTGGTTTCTGTTTAAGTGTACTGCTAACATATACCCTTAGGGAGAGTGAAAGACATTTCGCTAACACTACTATTTAGTGTTACTGATTTGTCCCACACAAGTAAATTTGTATCCCACAATGATACCTTTTCAACACCCTGTCTCCCACGGTACAAAAGTACAAGCACAGTCTCGCCTACCGCTGTTGTCCAGAGCATTAATGATACCCCTTTTTTTGGCATGTGCAGTCAGCATTTACTTTTTGTTATAAAACTTCACCTTTTTTGAGTGAGGCTTTTGTAAAGGTGAAAAGTAATAGTGATGGCTTTGTATGTTAAGTATTTTTTCTGTGGAAACCACATACAATATGGCAGATTAGATCCTCTTTCCTAAGCCAGTCAGGCAACTGCTACTGAGAGAGCAGCCTTTGTTTACGGCTGCCTTGTGTGCTATAACAAGTTAATCCCAGTGATGTATGCAATTGTTGTGGAAGATGGATTCTGATAACTTTCATAATGATTTCATCCTAAATAATACACACACCCCCCAATTTATTTAATTAATAAATTATTTTTTCACCCTGAAAAATACATTGGATTTGTGCAGGAAGATGTGCTTGATCAGTATTATAGTACCTGTTGAGCTGTACCATACAGTGATGTTCTGGCATTTGTGTTACTAAGTCAAAGCTGAAAGGTATTTGCTATTCTGGAAACAGATTTTACAGAAATCCAATCAAAGCCCAGTGAATTATTGCTTGTTTTAGAAAGTTTTATTTTCGTGATTGGTCAAAAAAACAAACAAACAAAAAAAAACAAAACAAAAAAACCCACCACAAAACCCAACCAACCAGTTTAAGAGAAGACTTTTGCTAGAAGAAAATAAAAGTTGATGCTAACCTGATAACTTGGCCTTTTTTTGTCTTCTGATCCTAATAAATCAAATCTGCAGGCTTTTCAATGGAAATAGGGCTATTATAATCATGTTTCTTTGACTAGTTGCCCCACTTTCACCTTGGGTCCTGTATTGTTTCATCAACCTCATTTTATCAGAAGATTTACGTCCTAAAATAGATTTTGTAAATGTTACCTTCGGTTAATTTTCTGCAGGCTTAACCATTTTTCATAAAAAAGCCATGATGAAGTCATTCTAATATTGAGTATTTTGAATACACTGAAATATCTGGAAGCATATCTTTCTTGCCAGAAGATATAGCAGTTCAGTTGTTTAAAAAGTTCTCAAAAATAAGGGTTTGGAGAATGAGTGTTTTTCAAAAAAACCCGTGCACAGCACTTTTGTCTATCTTTGACCTTTTACCTTTATTTTTCTTTCCTACTCAAAAGGTCACTGTTCCTCAGAACTTTAAACTTTTAGTTTGTAGCAGCCACTGTATGTTCAGATCTTTTTAATTGTAGTTTTATATGTTGCAAAACAAAAATCAATAAATAGAATTTACTTAAAAGGAGATGTCACAGGGCACAAAGGCAGTAAGAAAAGGATTATGAAGTTAATCACAAAAGCCTACTACCTTTGCTTCAATTTTCAAACACAATGAAGACCATCTCAGTGGCTGAATTGAAAATGTATCATCTGTATTCATATTTTTGCATCATTTGGTTCCATAAAATAATCCTTTTGAAGTAGAATTGCTGATGCAACTGCTGAGTGGATGCTTCCATATGATCCAAGCTTGGTTTTACAGAAGAAATGTCTTTATTTCAGATCAAGGAAAAAAAATTCCAGTTAGAGCACAACTTCAGAAACCACAGGCCTCGATCCCGCAGGAAAGTAGGTACACATTAAATGTTAACAGTGCTATTTGATTGCTAGCCTTAGTAGTTTATTTTAATAGTTATGAAGAACAACTTAGTGTTTCTAGCCTTTCATTCAGTATTTTGATATAACTTCTGAAAAGTGTCAGGCTGTATGAAACTTCTCAAAACACTGATTTTGGTTTAAACTGTTGATCTCGCTGCTTATGCTGCAGGAATATTTAGGAAGATTTCTATTGCAATGCCTAAATCATAGGTGTTTCATATTCAAGATGCTTTGTTACTGAAAGCCCTGCAGATAAAGAAAAAAAAAATTTGGATACGTGTTATTTCATGGCTAATTATTGCTGAATATAGCTTTTGTGTATTTGTAAACCACCTGTACCTGTCCTGAGGGCAACAGGTATTGTAGTCCCCTGGTAATAGCGATTGACAAGAACTAAATACTGAATGGATTAGTATTGCTGCTATTTAATATACAGAATAAGTACTAATAGAAATTACTTTATGGTCAATAATGATCTACATTCAGATAGCATTTAGAGATAACTTTATACTAATGATTACAGGTACTTTTGTAGGCAAGTGAAAGCTTGTGATTTTCATAAATTTAGATACTGATTAGTGGGATTCTTGCTATATCACTGTGAATGGCTAGTGACTGCTTCTGTAGACAGTATTCCAAAAACATTATTATTTGAGCCAAGTACTAATCTTGAAGAAAAATTATCTTTGGTTAAACAGGTCAGTTAGAGATAGGATTAGTCTTTGCATGAAAGCTTGTATTAAAATTTAGATAAAAGGTATTTGGTGATTGTTCCCATCAGCAAACAGAAGCTTAAAAAAATAAGTCTTGTTGCTACCTGTCCTGTCCATTTGCCCATATGTACATGTACTTTCTTCCACATGTAAGTTCTCTTAATTTCTTGTTAGGTCCATTAGCCTAGTGTAAAGCAGTTCACATAAGTCTCAGTGAGCTGCCATCCACTTACAGGTATAATCTTTTAAGCCTGATGATATGATATATCCCTCTGTCTTATGTAGAATCTAAGATTGGTTTAGCTACAAGTTGCTTAGCTTGATTTCTAGCAGTTTTTACTTTCCATTGGGTTCCTCTTAATACTTATATTTTTCTTACTGATTTGGTGGATAGGTGATATTGCTGGTGCCAGCGTGAGCTGTTGGCATAAAGATCATCCTTCTCTTTTCTGGCAAAAGTTGCAAGCAAACATGTAGTGTGTTCACTTCATCCCAGAGCTGTTTCAGATTCTAAGTATATGAAACTGTTCGTACACTGCTTGCTGTTTCTTCAATTTTTCAAGGTTATTGTACAGCTGCAGTACCTGGCTTTTAAAAAGACACAGTTGAATTTTGAAGTAGCATGGTAAAAGTGCCAGAAGAGTTTCCTGGGATGTAAAGAGAAAGGATTATTTCTTTTCCCTTTTTTATTTGTTTTTTGTTGTTGTTGTTGTTGTTGTTTGGCAAGTGTCTGAATAGATGTGCTACTGTACCAATATATGTGAAGAATTGAAAGCTTTTGCATACTGTAGGAATCAAGTTAGTAACTACTTACTGCTTAGGATGTTTGTCACCAAGCCGTGTTAAATCAAAGCTGCAAATTAGAAGAATATACTGGTTTTATCCCCAAAAACTTCAGGGTAGGGGGTGTATGAGTATTCTTGAGAGGAAAAGGAGTTACAGTTTTGCATTATATTGTTCTTATCCTTTGCCTTCTGTTGTTTGTTACTTCTGTTATTTTATTTGTAGCTTGAAGCTATAGTTTTACAGGCATAAAGAAACTTGCCCAGAGGTAGAATTAGTGTGGTTTCTTTCAGTGTTAGAGGGCTTAAGTAAAGACTTGATGAAACTATATTTGTATGTGAATTTTTTTTTTTTAAACCAGGGATTTAGGCATCTGGCTGCTATTAAATTCAGGAGTGATAGGAAGCTGAAGCCATATCGCCCTTTTTAAATTACTTTGGCCTAATGCTTAACTGATTATCATGGTGAGTGAATAGTGAAATACAGAATGAAAATAATGAATACTTTTAAGGTATTTTAGGGGTAATTTAGGGCCATATATATAGCATAACACAATGTTCATAGAGTATTTAACTACTGGAGGAGGATTTGTAAAGCTGTTTTTAGTTTTGTCCTGTGCATAGCAAATGACTAGAGATTAACAAACTGCTAATGACATAGTTGTTCATTTTGAAAACCTTTAAATTTAGAATTCCTGTCTTACTCTTTAGATCAGGGGAAGTACACTGTGTACCGTACATAATGAATTTCTTGTAAATAGGTATATTAAACTTTAGTTGCAGTGTCTTGCAAATGTAAAACCTGCTGATGTAGTTACTGGCTTTTAATAGCTCAGACTGACCATTTGTGAGATAAAAAGCTAGGGTTTCATTGGCTATTATGAATAGAGCACATTTCCACAAATGAAGAAATGGTGTAATAATTAACATGCATAATGGATATGTGCACTCAGGTTTCAGTTATATCTTTATGAGCTTTAGCTGCTGTTATCTTTGGTGTAGCTAACCCCCTGTCTATCCATACATAACTGCACCACAAAAATAGATTTGTTCTGTTGCAGTGGCATTTAGCTAATATGAGTAGCTCAGATTTTTTTCATTGGCATTGGTGGGGTTTTAGTACTGTGGTAAGTCACTTTTTGTTATTAATACATCTTTATCGTGTCAACGCTATATGGGTATCAGGTGTGCTTATAAAATACTTTTTAGGACAAGCACCTGAGTATGTTCAAAGTACTCCTTAATATTAGTTACAGATCTTCATGTGTATTTATTCTAGTAAGACTGGAATAAGATGGTACCTTATACCTGTGACAGGTTAGTATTCATCCCTTGTAGAAAAGGTGAAGATTGAAATGAAAGAGCTGTTCACTGTACCAAAGCCCAGTTTGGAAATGACTGATTATTTCATTAATCTCTGCATGGTATGCAAGTTCTTTAAAGTGGCATGGTGTGCAAGTTCTTTAGAAGTGGCATGGTCAGAATTTGGCTGTTCAGTGTCTTTTGTACAATAGCACACGTGTGGAAGAAAAGGGTTTTTTTAATTCATTTGAGCGTTTTATTCACTTGAATCTCTTAATAAAGAGACATTTATATTGTTATACTATAGACTATCTAATTAAGAAAGCTACGCATCTGTACTGGCTGTAACCATGGTAATAACAAATGAAAAAGCTACAACTAGACTTACATGTTTTGAAATGGGAGAAATTACTTAATCTCATCCATAAGGTTTCATTTCCAATTTCATTTCTAACATTCATTTAAAGTAGTGGTGACATTTTCTTTTTGTTATTTGTGTGTTACCATTCTTTAGTTATATAACTAAGCCCTTCACAAGTATGGGAATTGTCTTTCGGAAGTTGCATTCGTGTGAGCCTAAATTTATTTAAACATACAATTGCAGATGTTTGGATATAGCAGTCTTCTAAGTATTATTTGTTTTGCAGTGAGCGTAAAACTGAGTGATAAGATACTGTGTTTTGTAGTTTCTTTGTATTATGACGTGATATGTTTAATTTTGGTGTTTATATGTTGCTTTTCCTGTTACACCTGTAATAGACCTCTTGGTCAGTGTTCCAGGATGTTTATAGTTTTTCCATGTTACTATGAGCTTTATGAATGTGCAGATTTACCGACATCTAGTGGGTTGATAGAAAATTCTTGTTAATTTGATAAGGGCTAAATTAAAAATTTATTAATCTTTTTTCAATGCTGTATTTATTTCAATGCCCTTTTCCTTCTGTTTGCAGCTGGCTGAGCTCTTGAATTTAATTTCTGGAGCTCTGTTTGCTACCTCTGTGGAACAGCCTATTGCAGCAACTTCTATTAACACCGCTGCCAGAACATGTAGCTAGGTGTCTGCATTTTAATGAACACTTGTAACTGTAGCTGAGTATTTTAAAATCATACTACATAAAACCCAAACGGCCTTTTGTGCTATGTAAGGTGGTCTTATTTTTAATTACCTAGAAAAGCTTGTAGTTTCTTAGGTATTATGATACTACATAAATGAATTAAAGCAAGTTCTAAATCATCCTCTCAGGTTTCACTGACCTCTTAGTGCTTATTAAATAATTATAGTTCATCAGCAGTATCCTGAAACCTTCCATATCATGAAATAATCACTTAATAGAGTATTTGCATGCTAAACCAGCATGTAAAATATTTAATTTCTAACAAATTTTAAACTAATTTTAAATAACTCTAGTATTTTTAATAATTTAGTTGAAATCGTAATTTTCTGAGAGAGAAAATTAGCTTTTAACTGTGCTGTGAAATTTCCTAACAAGCATTTATTTCACATGAATTAAAATTAAGTACTGAATAGTGAGTTCACATTTGGCTGTTTAATTAGCAATAGCAAGTGACGATAAGTCTCAATAATTAGACTGTAATTGAACTTTCCTATAATTCTGCATCTGCTGTGTTTTCAAGTGTCAGAGTCGGAAATTAAGCCCTACTGTAAATGTATATTTTTATGCAAGTTTGACTCAACAAATAGCTTCCTTTTTTTTTTTTTTTTTTTACGTTCAGTTTTATAGGCTATAAGTAGTAGTGTTTTTACCAGTTAAATTTTGAAATGATCCCTTGAATGTTGGGTATTTTTAAATTTTTAAGAAAAGCCAAATCTATTTTTTTTGCATTTACTAATGTTTAGTGTTGTGCCTATTGCATTGTCCTGGGTACAGGACATTGTTTAAAGTCAGAATTACACAGCAATCAAAAATGTCAAAAAGACCTCAAATTCATATATTTGTGGGAGCACCCAGTATTCCAAGCCCCCCAGAAGTGTCAGAACAAAGCAGATCAGCACCTGCTGCTGAAAAATGGAGAGAACTCTATTATGTGTGTGATACACATGGTCTTTTTTCTGAAAAAGTCAAAGGTGCTGACTGCTTAGTGCTTCAGGCAGAAAAAGCAGTTCCTACAAACCCTGACAGCTCGCAGCAGTCTGAACAGGGGAGTTTAATGGTAACAAAAGAATATTTGATATCTCTCAAACCTGTGGCAGTAACTTGTACCAGCACACCTAAAAGGATTGAAAGTTGCATTTATTCTGATTGTCAGATATCTACGCTTAGATGCACAGGTGCAAATGCAAATCAGGCTGCGGATCCACACCTTCCACAAAAATTTGCAGAATCAGCTAGACAAGATAAGATATCACATGGCTGTTGTTCACACCTCACTGAAAGAAAAGGTGGCCATTTAGAAGTTAACAGCTCTGACATTTCTGATTTGGTTGCCGGTACTAAGCAGATCAGCATACATCTAAGGTCTGTGGGACAAGGTGTTCAATCAGATTGTAGAAATGATTACCATGAACATCTAAGTCAATATTTGGATATGTTCTTCCCTGAAAATCAAGAGTCAAAACCAAAAGAAGAACCAAGTGATTGTCCAAGCTTTGCAGTGTCAACAGATACTGAATTTCGTAGTATAATGACTTCAAGTCAGATGGCTGTTTTTGCACAGGCTCAGAATGAGATGCAGAAGCGGGTCGTAAAACTACTGGAAATGGAAGCAGGCAAAAAACCTGACAAAAGGCAGTATGATCACTTCAAACTTGATTCTGATGTTGGAACATGTCTCACTGTAGCTGAAAATGAATGTAAGGAGGTGTGTACATGTTTCCCTGAACTTTTCATTTCTGAGGGTGATGGAAAAAATACTTGCTTGGAAGCTGCAAAACAAGAAGGAAATGCTCAGGAAAATATAGAGGAGCTTCACAAACTTAATGTTCCTGTTGAAGAACTTGTAAATGAAATCCGTATTGAACCATTGAGCTCAGGGATATTGTGCTCTCAAGTAGACAGTTCTCATGAGAGTTCTTCTAAAAGAGCCCACAAGTGTGAAGATTCCTTTCATAATTTTCACTCAGCGTTTAAAAGACACCTGAAATCTAAGAGAGCAAAATTTAATTCTTGTCCAGCTGGTCCTGGGATGAGAGTGGATCAAGAGAGGATGACAGAGTTCAAGAAACTTCAAAAGAAATTAACAGCACTTAAGAATTGCTGCAACAAAAATCAAAAGTACAATGTTTTGGTCACAATTGTACATCCTTGTCATATCAAAGAAATACAGGTGAAGACTAGACCAAAATCTTCATGTAAAGTTCCTGTGGCAACGGTTGTAGTTATTGACCAGTCAGAAACTGAGAGAAAAGTGGTGCTGTGGCGTGGTGCTGCATTTTGGTCGCTCACTGTGTTTCCTGGGGATATTGTATTGCTTACAGGTGAGAATTGTCATTTTCCTTTTTATAATAGGTGGATCTTTAGAATGCCTGTTTAAAGTAGAGCAATATGTAACCGTGGCTAAGCATTTGTAGGTCTCTTTCTTGCATTACTTACATCATTCAACCGCACTTTGAATTATCACTCATCCTTCCAGTGGAACATCAACTGTCCCATAGAAGTTTGCCCGTCTCTTATGTATAGTCTTTGGTCTGAGAAATATAAAATGCTGTTGTCTGCTAATAATGAAGATTCC